TGTTCGGTTGTTCTGAGAATGTTCTGAGAAGGTTCGCGTGGATTCTGTCGTTCACGTTCGTACGCACATACGATGTCAATACCTCACGAAATATTGCTTGTTACGCGCGGAGGGATATATTCGCGTGGTAATTGTCCGGTGATCGGCGTGTCCGGCCAGGATTGGCCAGGTGCGCCAAGCATGTATGTGATTGGCGAGTGGGGGGGGGCATCGATGTATAGTAATGGCGCAGGTGAATGCTTTACCTACAGCGCAAACCCGTATCGTAACAGCTATAATAAAAATAATAAATAATAATAAATAATAATAACATTATTATCAGGAGTAGATAATAGGGAACTATTATCTACTCCTATTATCCCCTATTATCTACTCCTGATTATTATTGATATCCCATGTAATAGCTATTGTTATATAACAATTTACAATCATCTCTGCACTCCTGTACAACTTGTTTTTGTTTCTACCACCCTTGATATCTAGCATGGCATACATACGCATAGACGTTGTTGTGGAACTTGTTATACGAGGCATAAGCGATATGCACACCAAAGCCCGGACCAACCGAATAAAATATTTGTACGGCCGCATCAATCCAGACCTAAAACATAGAAATGTACGACGAATCAATAGCGGCACTTCAATGGTTCTTCCACGAGCAGAATAATCGTATTATGTAAGATTATTAATACACATATACACACGTAGTGGCGTGTGTTTTTCTAACAGTCTCAAGCGACTAGAATTTCGGCCGGAAACCGGGAATTCCGTTTTCGATCCGCATGCCGAATTCATGGTCGAAAATTTCTCGCGGGATTTTCTCTGTAGCAGTCAGTAAACGAAACCGGTGGATGTGACGTCATCGCGTGACGTCACACATACAATATACGTGTGAGCGTGTGGGAGTGCCATGGGAAGCCGCGTGCGATAATAAAGAAATCTTACATATTGCAAATAGCGCAACTCTAAACGCAAAAACCCATTATGAGGCTTTTTTTGGAAGCAAGCAGGCACGCCGGAAATTATTCATGATTAAATTCGGAAATTCGTCAGAGTGAAAAAACCGGCTATGTTACTTTCAAGGACAAATTAATTACAACACTGTATGAGCTTCTGATGCTGTCGTGAGGTATGGGAAATTTCTCAACACGCACCGTAGTCAAGACCATGCTTAACACTGCACTAGTATTATTATTAGATAGTATAGATAATCTCTATATATATATATATATATATTATCTACACTATCTAATAATAATACTAGTGCAGTGTTAAGCATGGTATATAAATATGTGTGTGTGTGTGTGTGTGTGTGTGTGTGTGTGTGTGTGTGTGTGTGTGTGTGTGTGTGTGTGTGTGTCTGCGGTGCGTGGGCGCTGGCTCGTGTGTGCTGTGTGTGATTGTAGCGCGCGTGTGCGTGTGCGTGCGTGTACGTGTGCGTGTGCTGTGTGCGCGCTGCGCGGCGCGTGTGGTGATGTGTGGTCGTAAGTGTGTGTGTGTGGTGTGTGTGTGTGTCGTGTGTGTGTGGTGTGTGTGTGTGTGTGGTGTGGTGTGCGCGTGCGTGATAGTGTGTGTGTGGTGTGTGTGGTGTGTGTTGTGTGTGTGTGTCTGTGGTGTGGCGCGTGATAGTGTGTGTGTGTGGTGATAGTGTGTGTGTGTGTGTGTGTGTGTGTGTGTGTGTGTGTGGTGTGTGTGTGTTGTGTGTGTGTGTGTGTGTGTGTGTGTAGTATGTATGATCGTGTGAGAATGCGATATGTATGTGACATTACATGGTCATTGCGTCCACCCAGAACACACCACACACGTGGCATTGCCCCACCCCGACAAACGATAATGGTTATTATTTCTGTCGATGCTTATAATTATTCAGGCCTGCGCCTATGGACGGCCTTCTACTTGTTGTACAACACCTAATGGGTTAGCTATGCTCTCTGAATAGTGTCTATCGCTGGAGCTAGTATGTCGTGTGGGAATGCGACGGGCGAAGGTTCCCGTTACCGTTGCTTCCGCAGTGCCGTTAAGATCGGTGTGTCAGGGTAGTAGAGTATCCGTCAGTGGCTCCTCTAGCAGTAGACCACGGACCAATAGGAAATGCAGCAGGCACGACGTAGGGGCAGAGCGCCGTGAAGTACACAACCTGGAAACAAGAGAACAGCGGCGATATTAAAGCGGACTTGTCCTAGAATTTAGATGCATTCTGGGGTTTCAGTTTCCCAGAATTCCGCCCGCAAATGATTGGGCAGTGGCTGTGAGCTTGTTTTTGTCGGGTAACCGGTTAGCTTGCGTCACG